GTGTGTGTGTGTGTGTGTGTGTGTGTGTGTGTGTGTGTGTGTTTGCCCATGCATGTGCTTCCATGTGCTCTAAAGGATTCGATATTTTTGCAGATACGTCTCAGGACGTGCCACGTGGCCTCAAGCTGGGCCCAGCTCTGCTCAGTTGACCCCAGGAGTGACTAAGAGAGGTGGGGCGACTGCCAGGGCTGGTAGAATGGAGGGTAAAATTGAGGGGTCAGCTTTAGCCCGGGGGCACCCCCAGCACCCACTCCTTGTGGGTCCCAGTGGTGGGTGGCAAGGGAGATGGAGTCTTCGGGCGAACGGAATGATGCTTTGCTTAGGGTGCCGAGAGCGTGGGTGACGACCTTGGCTTTTGTCTTGAGAGGAGTGTAGCACATCAGTAATTAGAAGGGCTGATCATGATTTGTGCCTTTCCAAGGATGTGATTAAGCAAAAATAGCCTCTATTCTTCAGGCGGCAGGATTTAAACACCTATGTGAATGGCCTGGGGGTGGGGGTGGGGGTGGGGGTGGGGGTGGGGGGGTGGCCCTGGTCCTGGTGCTAGGGCTGGCAGGGGTGCTGGGAGCGGACGTTGCAGTAGCTGGCCTGCCTCAGAGCTTGTCACAAAAACATTGTCACAAAAACAGTTGTGGGCTCACCCCGCCCCAGATCTGGGCACGGCAGGGACCCAGCCTGAATAGCGCCATGCAAACAGAAATGAACAGGAAGTGGGAAGAAACAGGCAGCCTGATAATGAGGTCCTAGGGCCCCTGGAATGTGGCTCCCCACCACCCAGGAACCCCTGCCAGCAGCTCTTGTCACCAGAGGCTCTGGGGAAGCCTCTAGGGGCAGAGTGATAAGGCCCCCGGCCAGGATGCTCTAGAATTCCCAGAGGTTCCCTGATACCACTTTCCCTGGGGACTTTCAGAAAATGTGCCTCCTGGTGGATGACGCTCCCCTGATCCCAGTTTCTCCTGGGGCTTTGACAGCATAGAGGTGTCTCATAGGTCACGTACACTTGCGGTAAGTTTTCACAAAAATGTCATGCTAGGTCCTGACCACTGGTAAGCCTTGCTCTCAAGGGGTCCACAGTCTGATGAGGAAATTAGACAAGTAATCTCACAGCAGCAAGCCAGGCCCAACCAGGCACCCTGTGAGATAACCATCTCTGCCTGAGTAGATCTGAGAAAGCTTTCCAGAGGTGGTGACAATTGAGCAGGTTCGTAGGTTAGGCAGGAGTTTGCTGGTCTGCGGAGGGAGGAAAGGCTTCCCAGGCAGAGGGCTCAGCATGAGCAAAGACATGGAAGAGTGAAAGAGTTGTGTCTTGTGGGTGAGTCAGAGCCAGTGGCCTCAGTCATTGTGGTGGGAATGTCTGGTTCTTAGAAGAGCAGAACGCTTGTGGGCAAGGCACTGGCAGGTGGGTTCTAGGCTGCCTTTCTGTTGGTCTACAGAGACCTCTTCTAAGACTGAAGATGGGGAAACTCTGGTCCTATTAGTCAGCTCTCAAGGGGCCAGAATCCAGATCTGGCAGGCGAGGTCTCCCCACCTCCATCTTCCAGAGCAAAGCATTTCTGGCTTTTGTTCATTAAAAGGAAACAAGTCTCCATCTTCAAACAGCATGGGAGGCCAGACTCTTCCCCTTGGCTAGGGAAGGGGTGAGGGATGCTGAGGACAACCCTGCTGGTCTCCCATCTCCACTGAGCCAGGAACTGCCTCAGCATCATTTGTGGCCAGGACGCAGCACAGATTTGATGCCCAGGGCATCACGTGGGCCCCAAGGGAACTGGCCACAGAAAGATCAAGGATGCGGGTGCTCTCAGTCTGTGTAATCAGTGAGGGTGCAGGATGCAGTCCCCACATACTGGAGGACATGGTGCCCAGGAGATGGCAGGACCCTCATGTCTTCCCTGCAACTTATTTATAGCCTTGCTATGGTAATCTGTGGCAATCACAGCATTTAATTCTGTAATCACACTGCAAGCAGGCATACAGCCCAGTGAGGCCGGGGAGCCCGCCAGGGCTTAGGGAGGGACTTGGGGGCAGGGCAGGAGTGTGGACGCGGTGATGTCCCCATCAGCCTCCAGCCCCATTGTGTCAGCTGTGGCCCTGGCTCTGTGCTCCCCCATGCACCCTGGATAATAGTAACAATAATAATAATAATAATAATAATAATAATAATAATAATAAACTACTAACACTTATATAGCACTTACCATGTTCTAGGCCCTGTCCTAAGCACTTCGTATATATGGGCTCATTTATCCTCATCACCACTCTGTGAGGTCGCTACTATTATTAAGCCCATATTCCAGATGAGGAAACTGAGGCACAGGGCACACAGCTGGTAAGAGCCTAGATTTGTGCTCAGGCATTCTGGCTCCAAAGTCCATGGTCCCAACTAGGTTTCTCCCGGCCCCAGAAGTGAGGGGTCTCCCAGGCTGCCCTCCCATACCCTCAGCTCTGCCCAGCTCCTGATTCCCCCTGGTCCAGCTGCCCCAGGGCTGCACACATGAGGCTGCACACACCACGGAGTATGGTTGCTTCAGCCTGGGGAAGCGACACTCAGCTTCCCTCCTGGACACTCTCGGGGTTTCCCACTAGCAAACTTTCACGTGTGGTGGGAAGACGTCTCGGGGGCTTTAGTCTTCAGAATGTCACATCAGTTTGTGCTCCTGTTTTTTCTCCTGCAGAATGGGGATTGCCGTGTCTACCTCACTGGGAAGCTGTGGAGATCAGGGGGATGGGAGGGGAGCCACTTTGTCAAGCATCGTCTTCTGCTGAGTGTGGGGCAGCTCACTCAGTCTTTAATTAGTTGTGCGGTTTGGGGCAAGTGACCTTGGTTGTTCGAGCCTCAGTTTTCTCATCTGTAAAATGGGGCTAATCATAAGAGGACCACAGCTCAGAGGATAACTGTGGGGACTAGATGAGATGGTACCTGTAAAGCTCATTGTGCCTGGGACATAATAAGTGCTCAAGAACACGGAGCCATTTACTGGTGTCTTTTAGCATAATCCTGTCCTGAAGGCAGGGCCCAGACCTCTTCTAGCCAAGCCCAGGGCAAGGTCTACAGGATGTTCCAATTAAGGCAGAAGAGTCTGAGCCACTGAAGGAGTCTCAGTAAGTGCAGGGCAGAGTCGGGCCTCAAAACAAGTTTTTTCTCGTCCTCCTCCAAGCCAAACCTCTCCATCATTTGGGAAACGATTTCCTGTCTGTGTGGGCAGCAGCTCCGAGCTCATAAAGCAGTTACCCTTAGACCAGGGTTGTGTCTGTGAGGACAGAATATTTCAGAAATGCACTTGCTGACTGAGAAAAGCTTCTCACTTGGAATTCTTTGCACGCTCCCTCCCCTGGGGCCAGTAGTGGCTGAGAAGATGTTGACTTAGAAACGTGTTGGCCAGGGCTCTCGCCCACGCCTACTGCAGGGTTGCCGGTAAAGCCCCTGGGAAGGCCCCTCCCCAGATGTGACTCCTAGTGGGTGCTGCAGGCTCGTGGCAGCGGGTGGGGGTGGAGTGGGAAGGAGAAAGGGCCACCCTGTCTAGAAGCGGATGCTTTAGAGATGAACCGCTTGAAGGCAAACAAGTGGTTGGTTCACAGTCCAGCTTTGTGGTTCAGCCACACAGAGAAAATAGTATCCTTCTCATGGGGAGAAAGGAGAGGTGGTGAGGATTCCTCAGTGTGGCCGGCATCACCGGGTGGGCCATGAGGGGGCCGTTGGATGCCTTGGAGGCGCCTCTCCACCGGAGAGTCCAGTGCAGTGACATTCAGAAATGCGGGTGTCAGATCAGATAAACTGTTCTGTAAGGAGACAGATAGTCCATAGTTTCGGCTTTGCCAGCTGTAAGAACTCTGTGGCAATTACTTAACTCTGCTGCTGTGGCACAAAAGCAGCCATAGACAATACATAGATGAAAAAGTCGGTTGTGTCCCAATAAAACTTTATTTACAAAAACAGACGGCGGGCCAGATTTGGTCCCCGGCTGTAGTTTACACGTTAGAGGAATGAGAGCTCAGCCAGGGCTGGATGCCGAGGAGCGCTTCCTGAAGGAGGACATGGCAGCCGAGAGAAGCAAGAAAAGCATTCCTGGCAGTGGCTGGCTTCACCCCAAATCTCGTGTGTGACGGTGAGTGTGCTCCTGGATGCTGGCCTTGCCTCTCGAAGGGCCCACCTTCCCTGGACCGGGCTCCCATAATTTAAGGCCTTGCTGTCACTCCGAGAGCTTCAAACAGACCTTTAAAAAATACTTTACCCAGCTCCCCTAGTTGTTTTCAGAGGGATGCTTGGCCCAAGTTTCCCTCCGTTCACCAGATGGCATTTGTCCTGTTGCCCTCTCATTTCTGGTGAGGAAGAGAATAGTTCCTTTCTGGGACACCCCTCCTGGGCTCAGGGACAGACAGCATCCATGATGGCCTCACCCTGCCGGCCTCCCTTTCTTTTTCTTCCTTTTTTTTTTTTTTTAAATAAATTTATTTATTTTTGGCTGCGTTGGGTCTTCGTTGCCGCGCGCAGGCTTTCTCTAGTTGCGGCGAGCAGGGGCTACTCTTTGTTGCGGTGCGCGGGCTTCTCATTGCGGTGGCTTCTCTTGTTGCGGAGCATGGGCTCTAGGCGCGCGGGCTTCAGTAGCTGCGGCGCATGGGCTTCAGTAGATGTGGCTCGCGGGCTCTAGAGCGCAGGCTCAGTAGTTGTGGCACACGGGCTACAACTAGCAGCTAGTTAGTTGCTCCGTGACATGTGGGATCTTCCCGGACCAGGGCTCGAACCCGTGTTCCCTGCATTGGCAGGCAGATTCTTGACCACTGCGCCACCAGGGAAGTCCCCGGCCTCCCTTTCGTCAGGAGGAGAAAGGTTTCAGGTTGTGTATCTGTCGGCGGCAGGGGCTGGGCAGCGTGACCCTCCCGAGCTGGGGACACTGTCATTCCAGCTCACCTGGGAGCCCAGGCCTCATGCCAGCTGGGCCCAGGGAACATCCAGTCACCGTGAGGGAGGCCTGGAGATGCTGAGCCCTCTGTCCACCCCACAGGAGAACTGTACCGGGTTTCCTTGAGAAGACAGAGGTTCCCAGCCCAGGGAAGCATCGAGATCCATGAAGACAATGAGGTGGGTTTCTGAGGGTGTCTGGGCCACCTCTGTGGTCAGGATGTCAGGAAGAGCCCCGAGCTGGTAGACAGGCCCCCCAGTTTTCACTCAGCTCTTCATTTGACTTGCTGTGTGACGTCGTGCTGGTCCCTGTCCTCTGGGCTTCTGGGTCCCGCATGAACAAAAAGGGTCTCTTGGGACTCTTCCCACCCTGACACGGAGGGGCTTGCCCTCCTGGCAGCCTGTGCCCCTCACTCTGAATGCACAGGAGGTGCCGTCAGAGTCCCCCTGTGAGTGTGTGATCCTCTGTGTGCCCCTGCCCCCCACCTCCCCATTGCCTGTCTCTCTCTATCCTGACTGATGTCCCTCTTAGGAAGGCTGCCCGCAGCGCTCCTGCAAGACGCACGTCCTCCTGCTGGTGCTGCACGGGGGGAGCATCCTGGACACGGCCTCGGGGGACCCGTCCTGCAAGGTGGCCGACATCCACACCTTCAGCTCCGTGCTGGAGAAGGTCACGCGCGCCCACTTCCCCGCAGCCCTGGGCCACATCCTCATCAAGTTCGTCCCCTGTCCCGCCATCTGCTCTGAGGCTTTCTCACTCGTCTCCAAGTGAGTCCCTTTCTGCTTGATTGGACCGGCTGGGGTTGGTGGGGGGCCGAAGCGGAGGGGCCGCCCCTGCCACGTGGGTACGTGGTGGGCAGGTAGGTGCCTGCCTAGGCCTGTCTGGGGTGTCAGGTCCCGATCAACCACGAGCATCACCGGTGGGAAGTGGTCAGCTAGAGTCCAAAGTGATTAACACTTGCGCACCGAATCCTCCTCTGCCCGGGGCTGGGTGGCGCTCAGACCCACTTCCTGTGCTCAACAGGCCCTGGTCTCGTTGGCCCAGACAAGGAAGCTGAGGCATTGAGAGGTTAAGCAATGTCCCCAGGGTTACGCAGCCCGTGGACCCAGGCGTCAAACCCAGGCAGCCCCACTCTCGAGCCACACAGTTAAGAGCCAGTAGAGATGTGTGCTATGATGGAGGGGCCACAGGGCACTGCGGACACTCAGAGAGAGGGCCAGGGAGGCTTCCTGGAGGAGGTGACTTTTGGGTGTGCTTTGAGAGTAGCGTAACCTGTTAAGGGTGCGGGCTCTCCTGTCAGCCTGGATTTGAGTTCCGGCTGTGTAACCTGGGGGGAAGTTGTTTAACCTCTCCCTGTGTGTTTCCTTATCTGTAAAATGGGGATGATCATGATATTAACCACCTCCTAGAGTTTTTGTGAGGATTCTCTGTGCTAGTGCGTGTGAAGCGCGTGGCAGGGCGTGGGCATTAGCTGAGACTCACATCAGCATCCTGGTAGGGGAGAAGGCACTGTTCTTGTTGGTGGACAGTGGGCTGGGGCAGGAGAAGAGAACCCTGCTGGCTGGGAATCAGGCTGTGTGCTTGCAGGGCTTAGTTCTTCACGAACCTGCCCTGGAACCAGTGCGGGACAGATTGTGAAACAGGGGGCCCTCAGAACCTGGGGGACTTTGGGAGATCCTGACCACTTCTCCAGGACCCGGGGGCTCCCTCAGGTGCTCCCCAGATGCCTGCCCTGTTGAACCAGCTGAAGGTGGTGCCTGGAGCCAGCTGGGAGCCCTGGCTTGCTCAGCAGTGACATAGGCAAACAAGACCCTGAGCACCTGTGTGGCAAACGGCTGGCTCTTGAGCCTGGAGCGGGGAACTTTCTGCAGCTGGGGTGAAAGGGAGGCCAGTGGCACCTCGGTCTCGCCACTCGCCCCCTTTCATAGCTTCTGCAGAGGAGCCCCCATCCACGTGGGGTTTGGGGAGGGTGGAGCGGGATCCCCAGTCTGGTGCCGGCTGCCCAGGGGGATGGAGTGGGTGCTCTGGATCAGGTGTGGCTCTAAGGAGAGAGGGTGAGCGTCCAGCTGCTTCAGGGGGAACACGGGGAGGGCATGCGGGGGTCTCACTTCTCCCCTCCGAGAGAGAAAGGAGAGTCTCCTTTGCCTTCTAGATTCATCCGTGTTCCCAGGACACGGGCTGGGCAGATCCCAACCAGCGTTGGAAGGAAGATTTGGTCAGGAAGGAGAGTAGTTCCCCAACCTGGTTAGTGGCCCAGATCCGGGGTGTGATTTCTGTTAAACTGCTAGGCGGTCGGGCCTCCCCCTGGGTCGGCTGAGTCTGGAGGGGAGGAGCCCTAAAATCTGCATCCTGACTTCCTCCAGGCTTTTGCTCTGCAGCGGGTTTGGGAAGCAGAGCTGCACGAAGGCTCTGTCCATCACTGCCAATAGTCGGAGTTAATTGTGTTCCTTTGTCATCAATCTCAGCACTCCCCACCCCTACCCCCTCTCCCCCAGGACATCTGACCTGCAGAGCTGGGTCACCCAGCCCAGGCCTGATCTCCAGGAAGATGAATGGCCCAGCATCCACTGGAGGGGACAGCGGGAGGGAGCCTAGCTCTCCCCCAGACAGCTCCTTCCCCGGGCCATCGATCACCCCTAATCACTGCTGGGAAGGAGGTCTTTCTCAGCTAATTAAAATCTCTCCGGCTGCAACTGAGGGCTGTTTCCTCTAATTTGTGTTTCTTTTGGAGATGAGGAATGGCTGTTAGGCCCGCCTGGCACACCATGAAGTCTCTGCCTCCTGTCCAGGGTGCCCTGAGCCCAGTTTCTGTCAGGTCCCTGTTGGGCCCTGGGTCGACCTGAGCTTGGACTATGGGGGAAGGGCAGGCTCTGGGGAGGGGACGTACGGTCCCTCCCGGCCAGCTGGGTCAGATGTCCCAGGGGACAGAGGTAGGACGGGTGGGGTGCAGGCAGGCACAGGCAGCTGGGAGCTGGTCCCTGTTGGGGCTGAGCTGCCCAGAGAGAGGGAGGCAGGAAGTGAGGGGCCCGCGCAGCGGCTGAGGATCAATCCACTGGTGGGGGGGGGTGGGGTGCTGTAGGACAGGCTCTCTCAGTCCTTTCTGGGGTCGCAGACCTTTCTGCAAAGCCCTTGATGGCTCTGATCCTCTCCCCAGAAAGATGGACACGATATCATGCGTGCAGCTGCGTGCCCACCTCCAGGCTGTGGCCGATGTGTGATACACATGCCTGGCACGCCCTCTCACCTCCCTTCTAGCTTCCCTAAAGCCTTTCTTGAGGCCTAGTTCCAACCTCACCTCCTCCAGGAAGTCTGCCATGATGACACGTCCCCATCCTGATCCACACCAGAGGCTTCCTCCATAACTGAGGTGTCCTTTGAGGCCATACAGGAAAGGGCAGAGAGCACTGCTGTCATAAGAGGCACAGGGCCCACATCATGGCTGGCACGGGATGGACATACAGGGGATTCAGCAGAGGCCTGCCCCTCCCTCCATTCCCACCCCATTGCCTGTGCTTTGTCTCGTCCGGCTCCTGCCTGTGTCCTCCTAAAGAGTCCCCGAGCCGGACGCCCAATTCCTGGCCAGCATGTGCTCTCTTTTGCCCGGCTGGGCTTACCTTGGCCCCCTGTCTGCAGCCTGAATCCCTACAGCCACGATGAGGGCTGTCTCAGCAACAGCCAGGACCACGTCCCTCTGGCCGCCCTGCCCCTGTTGGCCATCTCCTCCCCGCAGTACCAGGATGCAGTTGCCACCGTCATCGAGCGAGCCAACCAGGTGTACATGGAATTCCTCAAATCCCCCGATGGGATTGGCTTCAGTGGGCAGGTAGGACAGCCTGCCCTCACCTCCCTGTCCTGGTCCCTGCCTGGAGAGAGGCTGGGGTCTTCCAGAAGGATCTAGACCAGGGTGCCCTGGAGCCCTAGCTTCTGAGATCCAAAGAGGCTTTTGAGACCTTTGGGTTTATCCTCATTTTACAGATAGAAAAACTGAGGCCAACATCTGAGTTCTGATTTTCAGCCCATGCTGATCTGTGGCCCAAGTCTGACCCCTGACTGTAGCCTGCTTCCTGTCCTCAAGCTGACCCTTCCATCCCCCTGTTGGGGCCCTCAGTGCCTCCCTGGGACAGGCTCCTTGTCCCCCCCGTGGACAGGCGACCCACCCTCTGGCTGGGTGTGGAGTGGGGGCGTGGCAGTGGGCAGGCCTGCAGTCCCGGCTCTGCCTTCTCCAGGTGTGTCTCATCGGGGACTGTGTGGGGGGCCTCCTGGCCTTCGATGCCATCTGCTACAGCGCGGGGCCCTCAGGTGACAGCCCTGGCAGCGGCAGCCGGAAGGGGAGTGTCAGCAGCACGCAGGTGCGGGCCAGGTAGTGGGAATGGGGGAGGGTCTGTCCTTGGGAGCCCCAGCCCCGGCCCCAGGGGAACAGGGCCTCTCCTGGGGGAGCAGTGTTAGCTTTTCGTGTTTGTGCCGTGACATCCACGTTACAAGGTATCGTATCACAGTCCTGCAAGAGTAGTGGGAGATTATTATTACAGGTGAAGAAACTGAAGCCCAGAGAGGGCTCATGCCGGGGTTGGTCCCTAGACAGCTGTCCGGAGTCCTGCTGGGCTGCCGAACCCTTTGGACTTGGGGGACAGCCCTGTGCCTAAAATCCCACCGTTACTGTGCTGTGGCGCCCATGCCCCTTTTGGAAGAAGGGCTGCCTCTCACACCGTAGGAGGAAGGGGTTCATTTATGCTGGGGGGGGAGGCGGGGCCCCAGAGTCTCCGGTGACTGAAGTGTCCTCCTGTCCTCTGCTCGGCCCCAAAGGACACCGCGGTTGTGGTGGAGGAGGAACGCAGCCTGGCCAGCAGCAAGCGGCTCAGCAAGAGCAGCATCGATGTCTCCAGCGCGTTGGAGGATGAAGAACCCAAGAGGCCATTGCCCCGGAAACAGAGCGACTCCTCCACCTACGACTGCGAGGCCGTCACCCAGCATCATGCCTTCCTATCAAGGTAACTGCTCCCTGTGCCTGCTGCCTTCCAGCAAAGCGTCCAGGGGGACAGGACTTCGGCCCAGGGTCATCTGGGAGGCCTGTGACTCCCAGGCCGTTGCATCGGGGTGGGGGGGAAGGGACGAGCACTGAAATGCTGGGACCAAGGCCATTCCCCACGGACCCTGCGCCAAGACCCGGGACTCTGCACGCTGTGTCCGCCCCACTCCCCAGCTTGCAGAGAGCTGGGGGCAATCGATCTCTCCAAGAGAGGAGATGCTGCCCTGCAGCCTACTTTCGCTGATGGTCTTAAGAATCTGGTGAAAGAACAGACGTAGGTGTGTTTTGTATTTCTTAGTATTGTGTTCTTGGTATTTCTCAGATGGGGCAGCAGAGGCCAAGGAGGTTAGGAACCTTCCAGGGATCACACAGCCAGTTACTGGAGAGTTGGGGTCAGCATTTTGGTCTCCCAGTGCCCAGCACCCAATGCACTCTCATTCAAAGGCCAGCCGGGTCCCTCCATGGAACTGCCCACCCTTTAACTTTCTAGAAGAGGCATGTTAACGGACCCTGGCTAAATGAATTATCTGTACATTTATTCAGGATTCAAATGGGTATTGAACAGAGATCCAAATGGGAAGGAACGCCTCTTTGCTTCTTCCCTTTCCCCTCGCTTCTCTCCTCCCATATTCCCCCTCCTTCTTTTCCACCCACATGATAAGTAGCATGAGGTCATCACAACATTTGGAAAACGTAGCCTTTCACCATTGCTGACCTTGGAGTATTTCCTTGCAGTATATTGCTTACTTGCTTTGCCTATAGTTTTACTTTAAAAAAAAAAACCCTCTTATATTGTGGTCTTTTCCCCCATATAATTAAAAATACTTGGTAAATACTCTTAAAAATATTTTTTTGAGTGAATGGATGACATCTTACTTAGTCCCAGTAACTGGACACTTTGGCTTTTTCCAGTTCTTTGCAATTATAAACAGCACTCGAAACATCTTCTTTGCAATTATAAACAGCACTCCAGAAACATCTTTGTGTGTATATATATATATATATATATATATATATATATATATATATATATATATATACATACATGGGGGTTATTTCATTCAGATGGATTATTGGAGGAAGAATTATTAGGTCAAAGGCTCTGCATATTCAAATCATATTTAAAGCCCCTCTGAAAGATTATTCTTTAGAAAAGCAGCTACATTTCAAGTCAGGTTGCAAGGTAAAATCATACCATTTCTGGTTCATCCTTGAAAAATCCTTTAAGAAAGCCCCAAATTTGGAGAGTGACGTGAAGTTGGAGGCTCTCGATAGCTGGCCCAACACAGCCAGCTCTTCCTTCTGGTGTAGGGACAGATGGCTGTTTCTCTGGCAGTTAAGTAGTTGGTGTGTGTTTAGGGACCATGCTGTACATGAAATACGAATTGTTAAACACCAGGGTGGTCATCCTCACTGCAAGATACTCACGCTGCGAGAGGCGGAGGGTGTGTGGGGATTCAGATTCAAGTGCCCAGACCCTCGCCCACAGAGGATGGGGGACTGGCACACATTATTTCGATGGTTATTTCTAAGATTCCCTTTCTCCTCCAACTTGAGTATTTTAGTAGAATTTGCATTCCGTTAACGGATTCATAGATCCTGCGATCCTGCTGGACTTTCTTAAACCCTGAGCGGTACCTAAATGCAGCTGGAAGGTCAGGGAGGTCCCCAGCTTTCTGCCCATTCTCAGCAGCCCACTCTGGGTCTGTGGCTAAACACCATCTTGAAGTCTCTGGGGCAACGGGCACCTGGGATGGGAACGGCTGGAGTCCTGTGTGTCTCAACCTGGGATGGGAACCGCTGGAGTTCTGTGTGTCTCATCCTGGGATGGGAACGGCTGGAGTTCTGTGTGTCTCAACCTGGGATGGGAACGGCTGGAGTTCTGTGTGTCTCATGCTTTTCTCTTTAAGCTCAGCTTCCTTTGTGGGCTAGAGGGGAGGGAAGACCAAGCTGTTTGCATCTGTGTCTGCGAGTTGCCTGGAACATGAGTTACCATGAACGCCCCTCATCCTGGCAGAACTGATGTCACCCAGCTGTCTGGCCAGGCCGGGCTTCTCTGCTGGACAGGGCAGGAATTCGCAGTGTGGCCATCACAAGACCAGTACGATGGGGCAGACCTGCCAATGCGCAGGGGGCTTAGGTTTTCAGGTGCTCAGTCTATTTTAGTGAAGAAAGTTTGATTGGATCATGGCCACGCGTGTTTGTTCAAGTAGCGTCTGTGGCTGCCCGCGTGCCACGCTGCAGAGTTGAGTTAAGTAGATGTGATGGAGGCCATATGGCCCCCGAAGTCTGAAATATTTACCATCTGGCCCTTTACAGGAAAAGCTGGCTGATTGCTGCCTTACCCAAATGTTGGCCAGGCCTTAGTGTTGGATGCTGAGATGGCCGCCATCTCGTGTCGGTGATCCGTCAAGTGGACTCCGGGTCTGAGCCCCGCCCCAGAGATGGAGGGCTGGGCGCTGCACCCCGGACCTCAGGCTGCTCTGCTAAGTGCTCACCCCCCCCCCCCCC